TATCCCTGGTTCCTGCAAGCTGGCTTTGCATGGAGATATTAGATTAAATCTGCCAGCCATTTCATTTCATTTTTCCTTCCTTTCCATGGCAGACGCTTTAAAATTCACATCACAGGTTGAGCAGACTCTGCAACCTGCTAACTAAATCAAGTCCTTTTTGGTTTAGGAATCACTTGCGTCAACCGGGACAAACACAAGACCTAAATAAATCATCTTTGGGGATGGGTGGAGGGACCGGACAAAGGCAGCCACAAACCCAAGAAAGATCTAAATAGTTGCTGGCACATTTTGCTTTTTTTTCCAGAGTTTGTATTTTCTTGAGGAACCAAGCTACGCATAGAAGGGGTATCGGCTTGCAGGACGGCGTGTTGTCTTTTCCAATACACTGAGCCCAATCAGCAGCAGATAATGTCTCTCTGTGTTGATCCACTCCTCCTTTCTTGGCTCAGCCATGGGAAAGCTCTAACGTCACCCACGGACAGCCCTGTCTTATACCTCTCCAAGTCAAGTCAGCTACGTTTGAGGGGATGCCGACTCATGGCTACAACCCCCAAGGTCCCCAAAGGGATAACGGAGGCCTCAGCACCGCCCGAGACTGGAAATCCTTAAGTCAAAGAAGAGTTTGGACCATCCCGCACCAAAATTGAGGCCCCATTATTGAGCGTTACAGTCACACTTACATTGTGCAGCTTGTAGTAGAGCCCACAGGCATTACAGACAGGATCGCCGTTGGCATTTCTCCTCCACAGGGTGGTAGTGGTGGTCTGACAGTTCGCACAGGACGTGCCCGCCCTCCTGGCTGCAGACTGCAAGAAGGAGGGGGAGAGACAGGGGAAGGGAAGGAGAGGGAGAGAAAAGCACCCGTGTTAAAAAAAAAAAAAAAAAAAAAGATGCAATCAGGAAAATTGCTGAGAAAGAAAACATCAACCCTGCAAGACTGACGCACATCGGCAGAGGCCTCCAGAAACTGGCTTGTGAGAACAAATAATAATTCTGAAAAAAATCCCCGAGGTACTTTAATCCCAAATTATATATGAACTGAATCAGGTGCCAAAGGGCATCCTAAAAGTGAGTGCTAAACCTCTGATAGAACTCATCAAAATTAGCAGCACTGGCACAGCCCATTCCAGAGGGGAAAATATTATTTAAATGCCAACATGTCTTTCCATCTTAATTCTCTCAGACCCCCCAGGGGTCTAATTCTGCAGTCAGGGCCTGAACCAACAATTGCCGGAGTCAACGGCATGAGTCACGCCGGCTCCAGCGAGCACCGGGTGAGACCCGCGCTGAGCTTGGTGGGCAGCTGCTCACCGGGTCCGACCGCAAGCACAGCCCGGTCCCATAAATTCAGCTCAGCTTCAAAGGATACAGGCTCCAGATCGGAAATAACACTGTGGCAAAGAGCGAGAATCCCAACTTTTTAATTGCACCCTTTTGCAGCCTAAACCTTCATGTTTATTTAATGATTGGTAATGAGCCTGAAAGAAGAATTTACCATTTCATAAAGGGGGAGGGACAAGAAAAAAATCTATGTGTCAAGGTGTATAAAGAAGCTTTTTTGTTGGCTGTGATAATGATTTAGCAAAGCCAAATTTAGCAAAGTCGCTCCTCTTTCACATGCATGAATTTGTGCCCATCATTTAAAAACTGTAACTTTAGCAAACAAATTGTCCTTCTGCCACTGAAGGAGGAAAAAGAGTTTGCAGACTCCTATGTGAATGCGTATGCATGTTTGCCTGTGTGCAAGTGCCTACAGCTCCTAAAAAAAGACCTTTAGATCCCCGTCCTATCTCTTCTTCATCAATATGACACAGTCCCAGAGCTCTGATTTCATCCCAATGCGTTGCTTTCAATGGGACTGCTCATGTGCTTAAAGTTAAAACATGTGCTTAAGCGATTTGCCAGATCATAGCAATGCTTGGCACCTTGCAGAACTGAGCCTTTAATGCTCTCTTTTGTGCTCTTACTGTTTCAAATTTACCCCTCACCCCACACAGCCGCACATTGCAGCACATCCAACATTTAAAAAAAAAATACCACATCTTTGGATACCGTACAACAAACCCAAAATGCAAACATGGACACTGGCACAGCACTAGCATTAATACCAACTCTTGTTAGGTCATGTTGCAATTTTAATCATAATTGAATGTGGCGTAGGTAGAGAGAGGACGGGTTGGTTTTGTTTTAGATAGAGTAGGAATTTTTTTGCTTAATTAGACAAAAAGGACTGTCTAAAATATAAATAATACAATGTCCATGAGCATTAGGAAGCATCACAAAGAGCCTGATCTGACAGCAAGGGGCCCCCACTGGCTGCCCGTGGGGACAGTTCCATTTTGCCTGACCATAAACCACGCTGAAACGAGCCGATCTCAAACCCGATGAGGCCCCTAGCTGACTTCTCCATGCGGATGACAAGCAGGAGCTGGGAACGGCACACGGGTCTTTGGTTGCAAAAATCCCAGTGCCGGCAGGAGAAGCTGAAGCATCCCACCACGAACGGCGGAGCCCCCAACAGATGTGCGCACACACGCCTCGGTCCTGTCCTCCTCCGGACCATGCCACAGCCCCAAATTTGGTTCCCATCAAAATCAGTGGGTTAATACGTGTGCTTCAAATGCAGCATGGACACAACATCTTGCAGAGCCGGGCTCTCGTTGAGACCCGGGGGCCGAGTCTGCAGGACTCTGCCCCTCCAGCTCCCACCGGCTGGTATGGGTGGCTCAGGGGCTGGATTGAGTCTCTCGATGGCAGCTTTGCCCTTATCAGACCCAAAAATCAAGCACAAGGAAATTTCTAAAAACCAGTGATATTTGACTCAGCCCACACAGGGGAAACATCCCCTTTGAAGATATTTGGGGTTTCTACACAGCGCTCACCGTAATTTCTCTTACGGCAAGTGCATTTAAAAGACACGCCTGGTCACCACCTTGCTACCTTCAGACAAACTCTGACATTAAATAAACAAATAAATCGCAACATCCACTATCTTCTCTAAAACCTTTTCCATCTGCCCCGTTTCCCCTACAAAAATTCAGCGTTGTTAGCTGAATATTTTAAACTCTGTGCTCTTTCGGTCCCAGACTGTACCTTTCATGCTGTACCAACTTATACCGGAGACACCGGCAGTGGGCAGGAAACAATGAATAATAACGCTATTGTAAAAGCTCCCAGCATTGGCATCCACTGACGCTGATCACCGACCCAAGCCTGACCATGTAAGTAATGGGACGACTAATAGGGTGCCCCGTATCATCTGTAGGACCAGACCCCATGGCCCAATTGCATGTGAGCGAGGGCACAACTTCAGAAGCGCTGGCGGTGATGAGAAGGTGGAATTGAGGATGGTGCAGGAGGAACCAAGCACTGATAAAAATGCTTCATTAAAGAGGCATTTTCGGTGTCTGGATTTACATGGGGTACCCAGAAAGCTGCAAGCATCAGCTTCCTAAAAAAAGACTGCAGGTGGATGGGTCTTCTGAGAAATTGGCTATAATCCTTCCCGGACACAGAAATGGAGAGCTCTGTATCCACATGGGCAGGGAAAGGAAGAAAATCCAAAGGTTTTATCTCAGCAACATCAGTGACGGCGCTGCCCCTGGCTTTGACAGGGACAGGAACGGTCTCCAAGGGGCTGTAGACCTTTTAAGCGGAGTGGTGGCGTGGTACCACCTGCCCGTTCCTGATGCCCCTGCCAACATCTCCAGATCTTCCACCTTCCCCACAAAGCTGACCTGTTTGAGCCCCCTCGACCGGCAAGGCTCCATCCATCTCCCCTAAAGGAAGCCCTTACAAAGACGCCCATTAAATTTAATAAGGCTTTGTCTGGGTTCTCAGCATCTAAGGATTTATTTGCCTTCTCTCTCCAACCCATCGGAGTCCTTTCATTAGTTTCAGCGTGCCTGGGATCAGAGCCTACAAAACCAGCCCAAGGTCACGCAGGAAACTCGCGGCAGAGGGAGAGGAGCACACGCTGGATCCCCACCCTGAGCCTCCACACAGACGATCCCCAGCCCGCTCGCCTTCACAAGTCAGGAAAGATGAAGTCAAGCCACGGCACACACACATCTACATCCATGCACACGAAACGCAAACGCGGGCCCAGCTTTGGTGCCTTCTGTTTGGTGCCTTCTGGGTTTTTTTTTTTTTTTTTTTTTTTTTTTTTTTTTTTTTTTTTTTTTTTTTTTTTTTTTTTTTTTTTTTTGAGGTTAGCAAGGGAAATAAATATAGAGGTAAACAGCTTTAGAAATGTTTCTCCTTTTTTTTTTCCCAGGCAGTGCTGGAGAAAAAAAATATATAGAAAAACCAGAAGTTCCCATTTAGCAGAGGCCGTATTCAAAGAACGAGAACTTTTTTGTAACTTTAACTAAAATGCCAAGGTTGGAGCGATTATGCAAGACAAGGTCTCTCTCTACTTTTTTTCCTTCTTTCTCTTTTTTTTTTTTTTCCCCCAAGAATGACCTTTTGCAACGTATTTATTTATATAGTTCATTTTACATGTGCCGGGCTGAGGGTGACTCGGGACATTCTTTCGTGGTTCCATCAGACACTTTTTGAAAGCTCTCCCCCCCTTTCCAGCCGCTTTCCTATTCTGCCTCCCCCTCCGCTTGTTTGGATATGCTCAAGCTCCTGTGTGTTTGGGCTGGGGAAACAGAGCTGTTGTTTAGGAGTTATCTCCAGGGCTCAGATATCCGGCAGCTTTTTCCTAGGAAGTTAACTTTACACATAAAGAGAGAACGAGGAAAAAAAAAATAAAAAAGAAAATGAGGTGTGTGTGTTTAAGACAGAAGGGCCGGGGGGAGGAGGAGAAGAGAACAAGAGAGCTGCTCAAAAAAAATTAAAAATCCCAGCCCGTACTTCCCTCCCTAGAAAGCTTTTCCTTTTTTCTAACAAGGCTATGAAAGACGAGGGAGACCAACATTTTCCTAGACGGGAAAGGCCCAGGGGAAGGCACAGAGAGGTTTCACCCGCAGGAAGTTTGGGGGTAGATGAGCAAATCTGCATCTTCCCCAAAACCCACACGGCCGGACAGAGCCGACACCGCTGCCCTTCGCAGAACAACCCCTCCTGGGGCTGTATCCTGCAAACGCTTCCCAGCGCCTGTGGAAATAACACCGGTCCAATTTTACGGGCATCTCACGGGTGAGGAAGCTCAATCCGTGTCTAAGAGTTGCAGGACCAAGGCCGTGAGCACCTTCACGGGGAACACGAGGCCAATGAACCACCCCCTGCCTGCCTGCAGGATCAGGCCGTGCCAGGCACAAGCCTCACGCAACCAGCCTGATCCATCCATCAGCTCAGAAACTCCGCGGAGAGGCGAGAGCACCTTTTCCTCTTCATTTTGAGCTGCCCCCAGGAGCCCGTCCACATCTTTAATCCTAACGAAACCAAACGTGCCTCGATTCGAAACATTCAATAACTTCCCAAGCAGGGAACATATTTTTTTTTCCCCCGCTTGGTATATTTTTTCCCCTTGTGGTTTGCCTGATTATTTGCCAAATATACTTCAACGCATTTATTAGCCATGCCCACGGCTTCCAGACCTTTTTGTGGCTTCCTGGGAAATTCGTAAATAGATCGCTGGGGATGCTGTAATGTATTGCATGTACGTAATGCAGTTGTGAGGCTTGCAACTATTATTTTAAATATTTACCCGCGCTTTTCACTTTCCTCCAACTTCTGTGGTCCCGGGCACATACTGCGCCTTGCACACTCACCGCGCTTTGCCATCCCCTACCTTGTGTCCTCGCTCACAGCGACTCAGAGGGGAATGACACAATTTGAGACCCACACAGCTCAGGTACAAATGACCACACCAGATTCAAGTGGCACCAGGAACATCAGCCAAGCGCTTTGCAAGACCAACCGGTGCCCCAGTGGCACCGGCTACGGTGACTGGTACCCAGCTTGGGTCCCCACTCCACGACACCGACAGCCAAGGGAGATGGAGACACACTTGGGAAGGGGAGGACAGCAGTGTGGAGATCCCAGGAGAAATCCCATTCTCCTGATAATCTCTTTGGTCACTAGGAAATTCTTACTCTGCCCTTAGGCCCTGGAAAGAGCCACTGTCCCTGGGTCGCCATCCAGAAGCGCTGTGCAGAGGCATCTGCCCCATTGCAACCTGGGAGAAAACTCCATTCTGGTTTGCAAGAAGCCCTGGATCTTGATTTTTTTTAACCTATTTTGCAGTTTGCAAGAGGACCAGACAACTGAGGCCCACAGCGGCT